CTATACATCTTTGGTGCCAATCCCATTCTCCATCATCTAGAAAAAAAATCTAGGTGTATAAAATGTTGATTTAAATAATTAATTAAAATTGCCTTTTCTGATATGTTGAAATTAATGCATGTATTCTTTTTTTATACAATGTTTATTTGTGGGTAAGTTCTCATTGGATTTAAAAAATTTAAATATACAAAGATATGTGTATACGAAGTAGCAACCTATGCTTCTCTCTATTCTTCTACACCACCCCTCAAAGTTCACTGACATTAACAATACAGCGAAACTTTTTCTAAAATGATTTTCAGGACATTTTATACCAAACAAAATAGAATGCACTAATATAAGGAAGGTACTGTTGGCATTTTTACTTGGCTGGCAGAAAATCATGTGTGTATTCACACTAATTGTGCTTTGGAGTTTAACATTGCCACAGGGCATGGCTTTCTTAACCACAACAGACCAAAAATATGTATGAGATACACGATTCACATTAAACTTTGGCTACCTGGTTGGATGTTGTACTTCTTTTGTGGTTAATTCTAGATGTAGTGTGGTTCTTTGTACATTACTGCATTTGGTGGCTCTCTAGCTGCCTGAGAATATAACTGAAAACATTAGCAGGCTGTTCTAGATGCAGGTGTTCCACATTTTCCCCGGTTCTCTGAAAGTATACCATTTAATTTAAAAACTGCGACATGTAGGCACATTTTCATATATTTGTGAGCGGTTAAAAGCATTGTAAAAGCCAAACAAATGTTTTAAGTCTCTAAAAGTGCAGTGGATAAATGTATCGATACCACAGTCATGTTTCTTGGTTTCCTCACTAGGCCACATACGAAATATGAAAGGAATAAAGGAGGAAGCAAGACAGGCAAGCTATTTTGAATTTATTTTTAGTGGGACACTTCAATGCACACTGTACTGCAGAATGTGTAAATGCTGAAAATCTCCTTTTTTTAACAAAGGAGTACATGTATGCAAAGTATTTGCTGAGGGCAAGCCAGAGGAATTCGGCAGACTTCTGTGTGAACATTGTGATTTGCACTGTTAGCCTCATAGAAAGCAAGGGGACAGATCTATTAACTACTATGTCATGAAATCCTGATTTATGTTTCATCCTCTAATTAAAGTCCAAGAAATCTAAAGCTGAGATAGAGTTTGTATAAATTTACTTAACAATGAGATGTCTATTAGATGATGTAAATGTCACAGTGAAATTGGAAGCCTTTTCATTCAACGAGAAAAACAGAAATAAGCTTCAGCACAGAGAGCGCCAAACCATTCCCAAAAGACAGACAGACGGGCCTACAAAGCCCCATCACCTTACACAGCAGCCTGTGCTGGGTCACATGTCTTGTTCCTTTGTAAAGATCCGGCAAAAAATGTAAAATTTCTCCCTGAAGCCCTATTTAGGGAAAGGAGGCAAGCTAATGTTCTGATGATAATGTACTGGCTACACTGAAATCCTCAGAACAGAATCCACTTTAAGTCAACCTATTCACCAAGTCCACGGCTTTATTTATCAATATAGATAGCACTATCTATTACTTGATTTGTGTAAATAAAGGCATTCAGCTAAGTCTTTAAATGGGAAAGGAGATAATTGTAAATATCAGAGAAGGTATTTTCAGAATTAAATTCTAAACTGCAATCCCAAATTTGCTTATTTCTAACTTAGAATAGGGACAATAGTCCTCATTACTTTCCAACAGCAATCTTGGTTTTCTTTTCTTAAGGCTCTCCACAAGGTGTTTCTCTCTGATTATATGGAAATATAAAAAGAGAAGGAAAGTCAAAAGGAAACTCAAGAACAAAGAGAGGTTGCCTGATACAAAAAATAGGAGGTCTGTCTCCACACCTACACCTGTTTTGTACAAATTGCATGTCACTCACCAGTCATGCACCACAAAATATCACTTAATGATCAATTACATATAGTACAGTGGCCCCATAGGATTATAATGGAGCCCAAAAATTCCTACCACCTACATCACAGCACAAGGCATTACACACATGTTTGTGTTGATGCTGATGTAAACAAACTTACTTCACTGACAGCCATTTAAAAACATAGACGGCTGTGGCTCAGTGGTTGAGCATCGACCTATGAACCAGGAGGTCACTGTTTGATTCCTGGTCAGGGCACATGCTCAGGTTGTGGGCTTGAGCCCCAGTGTGGAGTATGCAGGAGATAGCTGATCAATGATTCTCTCTCATCATTAATGTTTCTATCTCTCTCCTTGCTGGAAGCCAATTCCAGCATGTCATAATTGCAAGAGTTTCATCAGAAGGTTGATGGGACTTGGGGACTCAACAAGGGCTGAGTCACATATGTTGTCACCTATTGGGAATGGCTAAAGGCATTTCCCCAAACCTGAAAAGGATGCATTAAATCGCTTGCTTGCTGCCAGACAGATCAGGGCATCTTAATCTACATGTTATTGCCCCCTACTGGCCAAATACCTGAACAGTCGTAGGTGATTCTTCCAATCTGACAACGGATTCTGTACGAAATCCTACACTTTGAGGTGTATATCTCCACCTCGCCTTAGGACAAATTGTGTTAACAAAAAGCAAGGGGTCCTGAGACAAGGAGAACTTAGTTCCTTTAGCTAAGTCTTCTCTGACTCCCTATATGCCTTCCAAAATTATGTTTTGTCTCTGGATTCTTAATTTATGCAAGTCACTTCTCCAGATTTCTGAACTCTTCTTGATGCCGGATCAAGACCACCAGCATTACCTCCCGTTCTCCCTTCCTCTCTGAAATCAATAAAATAATGAGAAAAAAATAACCAGAGATTCAGGAACAAGTGTGAAAACAAAATAAAAATCTCTTGCAAATGTGTTATTAGAATTCCAGAGAGTTGATAGATAAGTGACCAGAAAATACTTAAAGAAATATGGGCCTTAAAGTTTCCAAATTAGATAAAAAGACAGACAGTTACAGATTCAAAAGGCTTAGTCAAATTCAAGAAGAACAAATATGAGAAAAAAACGTAACTGGGTATGTCATAGTCACTCTGAAAGAAGTTAGAGAAAAATAACAACTCATATACAGGGAGAAAACAATTAGAATGGACAAGGACTTCTAATATAAAAAACAGATATAGAAAAACAATATATTAAAGTGCTGAAAGGAAAACACTGCCTAACCAGTACGTCATATCTAAACAAATGATAATGTGATATTTTTCAGAGAAAAGAAATATACATAATATACACGAATAATCTGTGGAACCCCAAATTAAGGATTTTTGAAATATATTCTTCAGAATGAAAGGATATGAGGTGATATAGAAAATCATTCTCAGGAATGTATGAGCATCAGAAATGCTAAATATTTTAATTAACATAAAATAGTATCTTTATTCTTCAGTATGACAATACATATGAGTATTTGAGAAAAATGTAGCTTTGAGTTCTAGTTTGTATATTATATATACATATATATGTAATAATATGACACAATAGCATAAATATTAAAGGATGTAAACAGTTACAAAGTTTCTGCATTTTACATGAACTTATATTAATCCTAAATACACTGAAAAGTTTAAGACATGTTATCCCCAAGGAACTAGTTTAAAAAATGCAAAAATTAATTCAATAGATAACTTAAAGTGCAATACCAAAAAATATGCAAACAATACAAAAACAGCCAGGAAATTAGAATCAGAAGAACAAAAAATAAAAGGGATAAACAGAAAATAAATAATGATTGACATAAATCCAACTATATTAATAATTAAGTTAAATTTTAATAAACTAACCATTCTAATTCAGAGATAAAAAGGTCAGGATTGATTAAAAATTTAACTGATGAAAAATACATATCATACAAATAGAAGTCTAATTTGATTATTTCAATATCAGATAAAATAGGCTTAGAGCACAAGAATTATCAGATGTAAGGTGTCATTTAATCCTGACAAAAGAGTCAGGAACACAAAGCAATCAGAAATCTATATTCACAAGATAATAATGCTTTAAAATCATAAATCAAAGACTGACAGACAGAAGTAAAACAAGAAAGAGACAATTCCACAAACATTATTAAAATGTTTAACATGCCTCTTTCAATAATATATAGAACTAGACAAAAAATATCTGAAAAGACATAGATCTGAGCAACATTTTCCTACAACCATGACTTAATTAATACTTATAGAGCAATGCATACAATTGCAGATTACATTTTTTTTTTTTGCAATTGCACATAGCATATTCTCTAAGATAAAGTGTATGCAGGCCCATAAAAAGTATTTCCAATAAATTTCAAAGAGTTAGAATCACATGTATCATGTTCTCTAATATCAATAGAATTAAATTAGAAATAAAATAGTAAACAATCTATTTGCAATATTTGCACATTTTTAAAAATAGTGAAATCTCAAAGGAATTAGAGGCTACTTTTTACTAAATGATCTAACTTAGCACATCCAGTTTTTTTAAGATATAGTAAAAGTGGTGCTTTGAAAGGAATGGATGACTTTAATGCTTAGATTAGGAAAGAAGAAAGGTTTAAAATCAGCGACTCAAATTTCCAGAGGGGGGGCTTATGAAAAGACTAAAAAAGATATGAAATCAGTAAATATGCAGGTTCCAGATTAGAAAGGAAGCCAGGTATGCAGGTAGGTAGTTTGAATTTTATACTGAATTCCCTAGGGAATCATTGCAGGATTCTAAACAGGGAAGTAGGAGCAAATATTTTACTTTTTAAAAGATTATTCTGAAAGAAGTGTGAATTGTGATTTATATTAGAACTGTTTGAGTGAGGGGACTAGACAGCAGGAAGTCAGAGTAATAATCTATGTGCAGCAGGAACCAAATTCCACTAAAATCGAGTCTGTGGAAACTGAGACAAGTACAGGCATAAAGATCATTAAGGGGGGATTTGGATTTGGTGGCTAGTCCCATGTTGGTGGTGAGCTAAAGGATGGAATATTTTTGACTTTGGTAAAACAGGGAATGTGGGAATAGCAACTACAGTTGTTGAATATGTTGAACAGTCTATGAATATAGAAAACAAAGGTGAAGTAGGAGCTTCATATAATGTATTATATCCATTTCTTATTAGCTTGTTAACTTTCTCAATTTCTATTTTCCATCCCATTGAGTTCCACTCTTACTATTGCTATTTCTCTCCTCCTTGTTTGCATTTGGGTTTAATACTTTGTTCTATTTCAAAACAACTCTGACTTAACTTTTTTTTTATGTTGGAATGATCTAGATTTAAAAGAAT